TCTCCCTAAGTCTAGTGACTTCGAGACATTGCCTGTTTGCATATTTTAAACTAACTATTATTTTCTTTAGACAACCAATGATTCATCTTCAAGTATAAAACCAGTGGTAAATAATTATTTTTTTTTAAATAGATATCTATGAATATTTCATTTTATTTTTATTCTAGTCTGCTTATTGGGAATGTATGGATTGTCATACTTATAATCCATCAGCACGTAAATCATGTAAAACATGTCGTCGTCTTCGACAAGATTTACTTGATCAATGTCTTAAAGAATCTAAAGCACAACAGGTAACTATTGAATTTTTTTTAAAATAATTTTTATTTCATTATTTATAAATAGTCTGAACAAACAAATGTTGAACCAAAATTAAAATCTTCATCGAATCAAATAACTACAAATAATAATGAATCAACTTGTTTTACCACTACAACAACAAAACCAGTAAAAATAAAACAAAAAATCTAAAATAATTTATTACTGAATTGATTCTTCTCTTTCCTTTTTTTAAATGTTTGTTTAGCCACCAAATTGGTATTGTGTTATTTGTTCACATCATAATTGTAATAATGATTCAGCAACAATATGTGCTGGTTGTGGAAGTATTTTTATGACAAATATCGAATATCTTAATTTTGTACATGAACAAGAAAAACAATTATTACGTTATCAAGAAGATTCAAAAGCATTTCGTGAAGATTTACGTGAACAAGCACATGCTGCTTATTATAAAAATAATGATGAATTTGAATGTATTATTTGTTATGAATTAATAGGAAAAAACAAAGGTGTTTTATTTCATCATTGTTTACATCCAATGTGTAAACGTTGTGTATTACAAATGATTGAAACAAGTACTGAACCATTACTTAAATGTCCACATGATGATTGTACAACAATTATTGGTGAAAGAGAATTACGTGGCGTAAGAATGAAAAATTTTAATTATTAATAAAAATAAAAAAAAGATTAACTATAAATCTTTTCATTTGAATAATTAGATTGTTAAAGATATGAAACGTGATCAAAAATTAGTTGATAAATTAAATGAAATTGGTGTACGTTGGGCTGAAAGTCGACATAAAACTTTTCATTGTATCACACCAGATTGTAAACAATGGTGGTTTATTGAACAAGTACAAGGAAATAATATAGTGTATTGTGATGTAAGTTTAAACTTCTATTTTTAACACTGAAAATCTTTTTATGAACGGGATTTTGTTTTTTTTTCTAGGGATGTAAACATTGGATTTGTATGACTTGTGTAGCTGTGCATGAAGGTCAAAATTGTAAGTCTTATTTTATCTACTATGATTGTTATTCTATTCTATACATATATACAGGTCTAGAATATCAAGAAGATCTTAAAATTCGAGCTATGAATGATATAACAGCTCGTAAAGATCAAGAACATTTAGAAGTAAGATTAACATCAAATAGAAATCATAAATATCTTCAAATAAATTATCATTTATAGGAAATGATCAAAAGAAAAGAAGCTATGCATTGGTAAGTACTTCTATTTAATCTTATTTATATATATATAT